TGATAACTAATATTGCATCGTCTCCTGCAGACCCTATCGTGATCTGGTAGCGGTACTATTTAAAAACTACCGGTGCTACAGAAAGACTCGCTTTTTCCTGCCGACTTAACCAACAGGAACGAAGGGGCGCCTGGAAAGGAGGGTACGTGAACACATACAGGCCTGGCTAAATAAAGGTGAAACTAAATCGATCTCTAGTTCTATTCTCGAATACTGTGTTGATACGAATCACCGAGTCGATCCTAACGAAGCATTTCAGGTTGTCTTCCGGACACCAGCGAGCAACAGCCAAGGAAGTGGTTACACGGCTAACAAATCCAGTGGTGTGTTGTCAGAATACGTTAATACAAGCACTATCACTATCGCAGGCGAGGCCAACGCCAGGTGGTGATTGTATACCGCGCTCCCATTCCTAGTGAAAGTTGTTCACTCAGTGCAAATGACAGTAATTTTCCCTCCACGTACCCTACCCATGATCAATGCTCACAGCCTACCCTTATTTTTTCTCCGCCCACCGTCCACCAGCGCAGTGATCTCTACACGTCGATCTCGTTATGCGGGCGGCAGGGCACACAACCATTTAATCAGCAGAGAGGAAGTGGTTGACGGGGCTGAATTCCTAGTCGACTTCGTTGGAGATTTGATCAGACGGATGGATGTAGAGAGGGAAGGGCATGCCTCCTCATCAATCAAGTACTGGCAGGCGATTTATGTTTTAAACGGGGCTCACAACACGCCTGGTATCCGTACAAGATTGTTTTAATCGACACGCCTCGTACATTTTCAACTCAACTTTCAGTTTGCTTGTACAGCAACTCCAATGACACGTCAATTGCATTGTTCGTCGGAGAGTAAGTTCGACAAAGGGGCAGGAGTAGCACAAGAGCTTCTTCGTCTCTCGGTACCGGGAGTGATATTCACAAACGTCGGAACCCAGGCGATTATCTTTGTCTTGAGGAACATTTATTTTCAGGTTTGAAGATTGCATAGACAATAGAATTTAATGGAACCACTAAATTTCGCGAGTGCTCTTCAGCCGCAGCATCTCGCTGCATAACATGAATAACGTATGAGAGAATACAAAAAATTGAATTCGTACAGAGAAATCGATACAAATAGCAAGGTCACTGAATATGGCCACGAAGGCTAATCAGTAACGTAAGTAAATTAAAACACTGTAGGAAGCAAAAGTGGGGGAAAAACAATTAAGGCAAAAAGCTGAGAACGGAAATGT